TTTCAATCTGGATCCTTGAAGACTATGGTACTAGTAAATGGACATTGAAGAATAAGGTGACCACGCTGGAGCTATTTGGAAAGAAGAATATTGAAATTGGTACCGAGGTTTGTGATGCGGCCTACAGAGTGATTGCAGTTTATCCGAAATGGAATTCGATTTTCCTTGTTGGGGAGGACAAAACACTGCTTGCATATGACATGAACCGCAGTAAAGTTCATTGTTACTATAAAAAGTACTCTTCGTTGTGGATATGATGAATGGTGTGTAATGATTATATCTGTATGGTGTGTGTTCAGTAAGTTATTAAGGCCCAACTGAATTAGTAAATAAATTTAAAAAACCAGATGCCATCACCGCCGCTATTCATCTGATGCGATAGGGTTCAACAGTGTATCATCGCCGAATCGCTTAATAACCAACACCGACGAAAGGATCATCACGGGCGGATCGTATATCAACACGATGGTGACCATGCCCTATGACCAGGCGGTTCATACGCTGAAGCGACGGTGATGTTCACCTCGACACAGGCGAGTCATGCTCTAATGCGACATAAACAAGGACCTGATCACGGACGGATCATAAGCCAAGACAACGGTGTTAGTGTATACCCATATAGGTGGGTCGGTCCTCAATGCGACGGAATAAGGATCTGATCACGGATGGATCATAAGCCATGCGGCGGTGTTAGTGCATACCCACACAAACGGAGTCGTGCTTCAATGCGACGGAAGTAAGGACCTTATCATAGACGGATGATAAGCCAATGCAGTGGTGTAGTGTATACCCCAGTCGGTCTCAGATAGCGACGGTGAGGGCTATGACCATCACTGCCAACAGCTTACTGCCGAGGCCGAAATGCGACTGTGATGGGGGTTACGACGTGGCTATGAAAGGTCTGAGTGTAGTAGTGTTTGGTTCAGTCTTTCTGGTTTCAGTTGTGCTTTCCACACATGATAAATATTTATGTGTCTATTGTTAAATATCCTATCATTACTCATCTAAGACCCTTTCTTAAGATAGTTTATGTTGACTCTTGGAATTTTGATAGGCCACTATCCTACAACTACAAGTTGTTTGGGGATAAAGGCTCTGGCGATGTTCAGTACAAGCTGCTCTGGCGTTGGTCGTCGGATAACGTTTACTCTGCAGCTTCTGCCTACAGGTCGCTGTTTGCTGGTTCCTCCAGGACCCTCGGCGCAAAAGAGCTTTGGAAGGTGCGAGCGCCTGCAAAAAGTTAAGCATTTCTTCTGGCTGACCTTGCATAAGCGCTGTTGGTCGGCTTCGCAGCGGGAACGCCATGGACTACAGGACTCCACTCCTGTGTTCTTTGTGATCAGGCTGCCAAGGAGATAGATCACATTCTGCTGACCTGTGTCTTCAATCGGTTGGCTTGGTCCTGGGTACTGGATTCAGTTGGCTTTGGGAACCTGGCGCCGTAGTCTCCAAACTGCTTCTGGCAATGGTGGCTTTCCTCAAGGAAGGCGGTGCCCAAGGAACTCAGAAAGGGCTTCGATTCCATGGTATTGTTATTGGGTTGGATGCTTTGGAAGGAACGCAACGAGAGAACGTTCAGCAACAAAAACAGGACAGTGTCGCGGTTGCTTCAGGATATGATCGACAAAGGAACTCTTTGGGATATGGCAGGCTTCAGACAGCTCCGGTGGCTCTTACATCGGTCACAGTTTAATGTCCCGGTCTTGTAATGGTTTGACTCCTTTGGCCCTATCCATTTGGTAATCCTTGGATTACCGGAGTTTGTATTTGTTAAAACTCTACTTTCTCTTAATGAAATACGTACCTCGTGGTACGATCGAGAAAAAAAATTAAGGCTCTTTTGTTGAATTACATCCTTGTTCTGAAATCACATTATATTCTAATTATTCATCCTTCGTGAAGACTAATGTAAAAGTGATGTTCAATGGCGAACGTCACGCTCGAAATAAAAATTTTTGGGTAACATTATAACACGATCCTATTTACATTATCATGGTACTATATGCATTTTTTTGCCCTTTACAACGCATGGACATTTTTTTGGGTAACAATTTAACGCGCTCATATTTACACTATCATGGGTACAGTTTTTTTTCCATTGCAATGCACGGGTATTTACCTAGTGATAGGTAAAAACTTGTGCTCCCTTTTTGAAGGTCTAGTTTGAGGCTGTGTGTGTCAGACCTTCTCATTTTGTCCTATGGTGTGGGCATCTAGTCGAAGGTCCAGAGCATCTTTAAGAGCTATTCTAAAAATTTACTCTCTAAATCATGATTTAGAGAGTCGTTTGAGTAAAAATTATTTTCTACATCCTTGTACCATCCAACATCTTTTCTATATCTTGTGCGTATTCTAGAAAGCCATCCGAAATAGAGAATGTCTATATTTGAAGGTCCAATTAAAAAGGCTAATGAAGGGTATTTTTTTTTCATCAAAAACTCTATTCCTATAAATTAGTAAGGATACAATAATCTCTTAGAGTTGGAGTTGCTCTCAACTGTGAGCATTTCTTCCTTTTTGCATTTCAATTTGTGAACACGTCCTGTGTTTTATAGAGATAGTTTTGTTTTTTACACCTGAGGACTTATTTGGATTTTCACGTATTCACCTCAACACATGTGTGTTGGAGTGGATTAGTGTGAAATTTATGTTCATGTATTCACCTCAATATATGTGTGTTGGAGTGGATTAGTGTGAAATTTAGTTTAAATTTCACAACAACCTACTCCAACACATATGGATTGAGGTGAATACGTAAACATCCAAATAAGGCCTGGTATATTTCATATATGTCTAAAACCAAGAGGACTCTACGTATCACTTGGTTACCGTCGCTACCATAAAGTTCAGGTTTTAGTTGTTGGGTTTCTTATGTTTGGGGAGGTTCCTATAGTCTCCGGGCTTATATTAGATAGAGGAATGATCTCCTCCGACATCAAGTTACATAACTTCATCTACATCTTCGTCTTGCGTTTGCCATTGCGGTGCGACAATAGCCATGCTCGGTAGTGCTAAAGTTGGTGTTGTAACCGTGGCTGATGTACCTCTAAGTGGATAGTTTCGTGACGTTGTTTTCAAGACTGTCATGTTATATATAATGAAATAAAATTGGGTGAAACATTCCCTCTCAATATAAAGTTTCATTCTATAATTTCATTACTCAGTCACAGAGAGTTGATAATCGTGTCAAGAGAGTTTTATCCATTTTTTTCTCATTCTTGTTAAATACACTGTCATATCAGGAAAAATACCTATGTAGCGATCTATTGAGTGCCAATGAAACTCATGTAAAACTACAACTGGCCTTAAAACGTTACTGTATCCATAGCAACAGCTATCTATAGTAACACCCACCTTAGCTGGAGCGAACATAGCTAATTTTTATCGGCAAGGAAAATGAAACTAACAGTTTCTTCTTGCTTGTACGGCAGGATTGAAGAGGTCAGAGCAAGCGAGTCGACGCAAAACCGAGTTTCGGCCACTGCCAACAGGGAGACGAGGAACCCAAGCCAAGCATCTTGCATCTCCGGTCACCACTCACCACCAATCGCCAGCCGAGACCCGAGGGCGAGACCCCGCACTGTTTCGATATTACATGCGCGTTGAATTAATGCAATGCAACCCGGCCGGGAGGGAAAAGTCTGTGGGACCTACCACAATAACATCCCGGACGATCGAGCACGCCACGTCATCGTCAGAATCAATTTCTGCGATTTCTATAGGCCGAGCGGGTCCCACGTCGGCACCGACCCAGGCCGAGTAGTGGACAGCTGCCTTCTACCGTCTGACCAGGAGCTTAGCTACCCCCCCATCTAGACTAGTACAAGCAAATCACTATGAGCACTAGTACAACGCTAGCAAGCCGGCCGCCCTGTTATCAAGTTGGGAATCTTTCCTCTTTGCCTATTGTCCCATGAAGGAATGTTTATCCATGCATTACTGTACATATTGATGCTAATCATTGACACACAAAACTTCATCAACACATTTTCATTTAGATATTCCGGACAACAAATCTCATAAGGTATATTCAAGTATGAAATATCTCATAATAGTATGTAATAATTATATACATGCTAAGCATTTCCCAGTATTCAACACTTTCCGTTATGAAAAATTTCATACTTTTAAATGACATATATTGACCACTTGTCATGGTAAAGATACTAGTTCTAAGCTACTAAAAAAAGAGCAAGGCAGAATAATAATATGTCATGAAATCAATTTTGTACTCCATCTATTCCAAATTATAAGCTGTTCTGGCTTTTCACGCCCTATTTTCAGCACTACTTCAACCATACTTTTCAGCGAAGGAACAATGTTTTCCTCTCACAACAAATCAGCATCAGCAGCATCCAAATTTTAGCGAAACGAACAGGGCCAGATGTACATTGATTTTGCTATGCATCATCATGTCTAGATGCATATTAAAAGTAATGTATCTAGAAACTAAAATGACATAATTTGGATCGGAGGAGTAATAGAATAAAGTTGAATTTGTGAGGTATTTAGCACAATAGTACTAGCAATAAATGATTAGATGAGATGCATACACAAAACAGAATCTAGGTTGCACCACTTAGATCAGATGCTTCTGGATTATAATGGTTATGAATCTCTTGTTGGTGGGTCTTTATGATCCTCTTGTGCTTATAAATTAAATGCTAGTGTATTAACCAATTTTGATTGCCCTTGCTACTTGCCATACCAGAAGCAAAATTGACATATATCCATCTTTTGCTTTTTTTTTGTTGAGAAACTGAAATGGAAGTATAGTTTGAAGAATGGAGGAGATGCCAGAACATGTTATTATGGGGTGTCAGTTTGCAAAAGATTTCTGGCAAAGAATTGGGCTAACTCCTCTTCTCAGGCCGCGTTTAGATGCCAAAATTTTTTGGCCTCAGCCAAAAACCTGACAGCAGCAGGTTTTGGCCAAAAACCTGAGATCCAAAATTTTTTGGATTTTCTGTTTAGTTGCCAAAAATTTTTGGCTGCCATTCTCAAAACCTGGCAGCTGCACCATTAACAATTGCATGCATGCAGCCAATGCATGCTGACACATGCATGCAGCCAATGCATGCTGAAGCTTCAAATGCATGCATGCTGTTGTCTCTCATGCAACAGCATGCATGTTTGATCCAAATGACACAACAGATGTAATTAACAATTAATCATGCATGATTCACCCACAAAACTGTACTGACGCAACTGTACATATGCAGTACACATACATGACCTCAAACACACAAAACTATCAAGAACGGTTTAGCAAAGCATAAGCAATCGAATCATGAAATTCATTCATCAGATCAGACTCATCCTCAACTTCCTCGGGGTCAGGCTGATTCTCAGACGCTTCTCGCGGCACATAGTTATCATCACGGTCACACCTTGCAAAGTGTCTATCCCCTATGCCACTTATCCTAATGAAATTATGTAGAGCACAACATGCAACTATGATTTGGCTTTGTTTATGGGGTGCATAAGAAGGGATCTGATGCAAGATGCGCCACCTCATTTTCAAAACTCCAAATGACCTTTCAATGACATTCAGAAGACATGAATGTGCATAATTGAAGGTCTCCTCTTTACCTTGGGGTTCTGGGGCATCTCGATACTCCTGCAGATGGTACTTAGTTCCCTTGTAAGGAGCAAGATAACCTAGCCGGTTAGGGTACCCGGAGTCCACAAGGTAATATTTCCCTACATCAGCAAAAAAATATTTTACATTCATGTAGTTGAACAACAAGGACCCAAATGTGCTATCGATAGGGTGTGTACTGCGGTGGATGTGGAAAGACATGGTCAGTATGTTGTTGTTGCATCATTGAATACTCTCATGTCATGTATGCAGACCCGGCCAACCAAAGCAAGAACAAATGTAAATCTCATGTCAAAGTCACTGACAACCATGACATTTTGTGTAGTCATGCCCTTATGGCACAAGTCTGCACAAACTTATCATTGGGCACCACATAAGGTACATGAGTCCTATCTATACCCCCTATATGCAGTCCTTGAAGTAGGGATAGAACCTAGGGTTTCTCGGTCTAGGATGCATTGTTCTAAATTGTGGGTCGATTGTGCTTAATAATGTCGTGACAAGCTTCACCATACACTTCAAAACTTTGTTTAACATGTTGGAGACAGTCCCTAGTGACCTCTCAAATCTGTCCTCTCACTTGCCTAAAAGATTGTGGTGCCCCAAGCATCCAAAGAAACATCCCTAGAGCCTCAACCGAGGTGGACTTAGCACTAGATTTCAGGCCATATGATTGTACTAAAAGATCATGCAAAGTTGTATGGAACATAGGTGGGCTCATTCTAAACATGTTAAAACATGCCTTGCTATCCCCAAGCTTCCTCTGCACCCATTCCAAACCCGGTCATGGCAGGTTGCCTATACTCACCCTATTCAAATGCTTGTCAATGTGCGGGGCATACTTTGGTACATACCATAGATAAAAGCATCATCATCTTCAGCATCCTCTAACTCAGCCATCATCATCTCTTGGAAAACATCCCAAGGGTCTACACAATGGGTTGCTGCTGCTGATACAACATCAACCTATCCAAACAAACAAGGACTAAAGTCAGTCATGAATCACATTACAATTCATGTCATGCATGACTACGTTCACTGACATTTGCCATTCACTCTCACCCATGCATCACATAGTTGAAATGGTCACCATACTTGGAGTTCACCAAACATTACTACATTTAAGTTGTTGAAATAAGAAACATCACAAACATAGTTGAAACACACATTCATGCAGTACAGACTTAGTTCATATGACATAGGACATGGCCGACATTGTTTGAGGACACCATTACGACATGAACTTCAATTCATAGACGAAATAAGATAAGATGGTCTATGGGTCGACCGGCGCAGCTTGCTCGATGATGATCATCCTTTCTTTAGGGCCGTTGGCAAGGAAGAAGTCCATATCACTTTCATTGTGGATGATCTTGTACAGGCCCCTGAACAATGTTGGAGTCTGTGCACTTATACCCATCTCCCTTGCTATCTGGGTGACCCTGTCTATCTTCTGGCTAAGGGCCAACCGTGAATTGTGGTCCTCTTGCTTCTTGTGCTCAAACATGCTCTCCATCAGGCAGAGCCTATGGTTGGCAATTTCATTGTGTGTCCTCATGTTGTTGTCCATTGCCCTCAGTGCTGGGCTCTTGGACCTCTTGTGTGGGCTGGATGCAGTGGTGCTCGTGCTGCTGGCCCTCTTGTTGCCAATGCTAAGTGGGGTCAGCTGGTCTTCCATTTCATCTGCTGCCTCTTCATCGGAGCTTCCACCATCCAAATTAATAGTACCACTTTCACCAGCAACAAAAGATGTGGAGGCATCTACTGTGTTTCCAGTAAACATTTTGCCCATTTGATCTAAGTACTCAGGCAAACCTTTCCTGAACTTCATCAAATCAGATTGCCCCTGCAATATGAAATCCTTTGTTATGCAATGTTTTACTTAGTAAGTGCTGAAACTCAGAAGAGATAGATAGATCATTTACGTTGGTATTTGCTTTCCACCATGCATCAGTGGCCTCAACAGTTCCATCGTCGCTATGGCCTAAGCCAGAGGCGTAGCGGAGCTTGTTACAGAATGCCCATTGAGCCTTGAGCTGCCTTAGCCTCCCAGCAATCTGCTCCCTATCATGGACCAAACATGTTGCTGCTTCGTACCTCCTTATGAGGTCCCTCCACCCAGTCTTGCTCATGACTCCCTTGGTACAATTGCCAATGGCAATTTCATGGCACCATATGTCATAGAACTTCTTAGTGTTCGGTACAATCCAGTTGGCCTTGTGTTTCATAGCCTAAACGATGCTTGTTTCAGTTCACGACATGTACAGAGATTAAACCATTTGGTAAACACTTAAGCTAGGTTAATCAATATCTACAACTGTTGTAGCTTAAATTTGTATCACAGAATACTCATAGCAAGAGCAACTAAATAATACATATAGCACCCTAGACACATGCATGTAACTCAGCAGATCTACTACGAAATAGAAGATCAAGGAGAAAGGTAGTGGAATTTGTACCGGGACTCTCGGGGCGTGAGTGTTGTCGTCCTGATTGAAGTTGTCATCAAGAATGGCTGGCCCCGGCCCGCGTACACGTGCACTGCGGCCCCTGCGACGGCCACCAGCGCCTCCCCGTGGAGGAGACAAAGGAGGGACGAAGCCGCCTCCAACGGATGTTCCACCCATGCCGCCTCCAACGGATGTTCCTCCGCCGGCGATGGCAGTGTTCGACCCGAGGTTGCGCGCAGACCGCTATGCGGGAAGTCACGCGGATGGGGGGGGAGCCATGGGGGACCTCGTTGTCCCCGAATGTAGCCGCGTGAGCACGCATCTGCGGCCAGTCCTCGCCGGCGTTGAGATCCAGCGACTCCAACCCCAGTCGGGACTGGTTGAATCTGCTTGAACCTGAGAAGGTTTGCGCCGCGTCGGGGAAGAGGGCCGCCACCGGCATGGCCCTCGAGGATTACCGGGCGCCAGAAATCCCTCGTGCGCGCGTCGTTGCCATGGCCGGCGCCGTCGATGCCATGGTCGCCGTTGTAGCCGGTGCCGTTCATGTCGTCGCCGTCGTGTCCTTCCATCACCGAACGCGCGAAGGTGGTCCTCGATCCGGACTCCGACGGGGTGGATCTAGTGGTGTAGCTCGTGGATCTGCGTGGCGGCGTTCGGATGGCGGGAGATCAGCGGCGGTGGGATGGAGTGACCGGCGGCGGGGGGCTAGGGTTCGAGAGTGGATGAGAGTGAGGGATAGAGGGGCAGTGTCGGGCGAGCGTGATGAATGGATAAGGGGTGGGTGCGGGGTACCAGGCGTCCTTCAGGCCTCCCAAACCGCACAGTGCCAGGCCGAACACCCCACCATGAACAGTACCAGGCCAAAAAATTTTGGCTGCCGTTTAGTTCCAAAAAGCCCAAAGTCAAAATTTTTTGGGCTGGGCCAAAATTTTTTGCAATCTAAACGGAGCCTCAGTTCTAGTGGCCTCAATGACTTTCACAATGTTCAATGTTCAGTGCCCGAGCAATATCCCTCAGAAACACTTTGCAAAACCTTCATCGCTCTCTATTGCTGGCAGCTTTGGAAGCGCAGGAATGGAGTCGTATTCCGATCAGAAAGAGCAGGGCATCAACAAATGCTGGCAGCTTGCATCTCTGACGCCAAACTCTGGAAATCCAGGTTGCCTAAGAAAGACAGGGAGCTAGATGAACGTTGGGTTGGTGTCTTTTGCAAATGTTATGTAAAGCAATTTAGATCACAAGTGATCAAATAATGTAAAACTGTTCATATTTGCCAACAGGCACTAAGTGAGCAATAAAATATTCAGGTGGGGTCCTCTCCCTCGGTGACTTTTTAAAAAAGAGTATAGTATGAAGAACAAATATTTATGGGGATGTTGGTAGTGGTGACCTATGATTAGTACCCATAAGGCATGGGGGTCAATACAGACAATAGAGATAAGTAAAATAGTAAGCAACCATTTTGAACAGCTATGGCAAGAAGCACTTAGGGACAAATAGGAGGGAGAGCATCTCAAACATTCATGGCTCATATGTTGTATAGTTAGACATACATTGTAAATTGTTAAAATTCTATCGAAGTAATGGATCAAGCGGCAAATACCAAATAAAGTCATTTTTTCAAATGTCCAAGTGTTTTTATGTTACTATACCAACCATCCAAACACGTTCTCTATGAAACCCAGGTTGTATCCAAGAATCATGCTGCACATGGTGATATCTAGGAGTAACTCTTATTATATACTCTATATGTTTCAAATTACAGTTCACTTCGACGTTGTCCTGTGTTAAGTCTTTCTAACTTTGATCAAGTTGTTAGCAGAATTATTAGCTTCTTCGAGTTTAGTAAACGCGCTTTTAAAATATATTTCATGGAGAAGTTAATGAAACAAATTTGAGATTGTAAATGTTGATGCATATTTCTTTAAACTTAGTAGTATAATAACTCAGAACAAAGACAAAGTAAACTCTAATTTACTGTAGAAGGGATCGAAGGAGTATGTCATGTCAGGAAATAATGTCAAAAGTTACACTGTAACAAGTGCAGACCTGTATGGTGTATGGATGGTTTGGCAAGGGAACAGGGGTACCTACCATAGTACACCTACCAATTCCCCCCATAAATTACACGATCTTGTGCCTCAGCCAAAGTTTTCGCGGCCATTAGAGATCCACGTGTCCACTTAAGCGATTCACCAACTCCACCTTCCCTAAGCTCCCGCCTTCTCCTCGTCCTCGATCTGTGGCTTCATTACTTCATCTCCCTCCCCCTATTAATACAGCTCAGCAGCTCACTGCCATTTCCCATTCCCACTCAGAAACACAAGCACAAACGCAAGAAGCTCAAGAAGCTGAGGCAAGCCCAAGAAGAAGAAAAAAGCCAAGAAAGAGAGATGATGGGAAGCGAAGGCAGCACAAGCCCAGCGGCTGGGGGAGGCGCCGCCTGCGCGGTGTGCGGCGGCGCCGCGGCGGTGTACTGCGCGGCGGACGCTGCGGCGCTCTGCAGCGCCTGCGACGCCGCCGTGCACGCTGCGAACCTGCTGGCGTCGCGCCACGAGCGCGTGCCTCTTTCCATGGCCGCCGTGGCAGCTGCGTCCGGCGTGTACGACGACCTCTTCGCGCCCGACGACATAGACGCGGCGTCGTCGTGGCCGGCGGCGGCGCCCGCGCACGCGCAGGGGCAGGGGCAGGGCAGCCCCCAGAACGGCAGCTCGTCGACCAGCTTCACCACCAGCGACAGCGGCGCGGAGGGCAGGAGCCTGTTCGACCTGCTGTCCGACGTCGACCTCGCGGCGGCCTGCGTCACGGGCGGCGGCGGCGGCGGTTACCTGCCGGACGGCGTGGCTCCCGTGCATCACGGCGCTGCGCCGCTGTGGGCGCAGCCCGGCCTGCAGGCCGCCGCATGGACGGCCACGTGGTCGCCGGCAGATGCCGCGGCCGCGGCAGCTGTCTTCGGCGTCCCGGGCGCCGCCGCCGTGGTCGCCGCGGCGGCGGAGCGGGAGGCGAGGGTGCAGAGGTACCGCGAGAAGCGCAAGAACCGCAAGTTCCAGAAGACCATCCGCTACGCGTCCCGCAAGGCCTACGCCGAGGCGCGGCCCAGGATCAAGGGCCGCTTCGTCAAGCGCGCCGCCGGCACCTCCTCATCCTCCTCGGGCGCCGGCACATCGGACAGCAACAAAGACGCCACGGACGCCGCCTCCAAGTTCTGGCTCTCCTTCTCCGACGACGCCAGGGACGATGGAGTCGGCTTCTACGTGGACGCCGGGGCCTACGGGGTCGTGCCAAGCTTCTAGAAAGTTCGTTCCAAACAAGCCTTGGAAGCTTCTGGCGGTGGCGTTCGCCCAGCTTGAAACAAGCTAAGAAATGGGTGCGCGCCATGGCGCCATCGTTCTTGTTTGTGTCGTGTCATCATTCATGCGGGCAGCATTCGTGGTGAAATTCCGCCATCGCTATTTTTAAATGATGGCGCGGAATTTCGATGGGTCATCATCAATTTGGTGAACGAACTAGGGGATTTATTGTGTGTTGTAAGATAGCTTATGTAGACGACGTTCGCTGTTAGTTTTTCATGAATCCATTTTAATTTCTATATATGCTAAGATGATTAATTAATAATCTGGTGATTTCAGCATGGATCCATTTTCTGTGCCAAGGTCCTGTTGTTTATGAATTTCGATGGGTCATCGTCGTCGATTTACTGAGGTTAACAATATAATTGTGGTGGAAATCTGCCATCCATAGCGAGCTTTTAGATAGATGATCGTCAAGCGGATTTTTAATGGGTCAATCAGGAAATAGATTTGGTTAATGTATGGACAATAGCTTACTGTATGTATCTGTGTTCATCCATGGTTTTAGTGTTTTGACTTTCTATTCCAAGATGATTAATTTCCATCCATGGTGATCCCAACCTGCTGCTAATGCCACTATTGTGTCGAACAATTGTAGTAGAAAGTCTGCATCGCTCTTTTGTTTCTCCAATGATGATGATGATGCTTTTGATGGGTCGATCGGCGAACTACAATTTTCTTATGTCATCATTCCAACAAACAATTCTGGGTACTCCATCACTACTTTTGAAGTGATGATGCAGATTTTATATTGGCCAATCATATCGGTTAGTACTAGCAGTTACTAATGGCATCTCTAAGACAGCTAGCTTGGTTGTTTAATTTTATGTAATATCGAAGTTCGAAACAGTCTGCTAGGAAGGTTCAGTCACAACTGTAAGACCTCCTAGGGCGCTCATTAGAAACGTGTCGTATGTATAGTTAAAATCTTCTTCTTAATTATAATGATACGTAAATTTTTTGCGTATTCGAGAAAAGAAAAAGACAGCTAGCTTGCATTGTGTGGTATTTTCGTGGTTAGGTTTCCTATCCTGTGAGTCTGGGACAGATATTGTTCCATGTGAATTCAGGATTGTGGTAGTGGAAAGTTCATACAATCGCTGTTTTTTGGCTGATATAAACGTGGATTTGCTGTGGTATGTAAAAGCCACTTTCCACTATTGAAATAGGGCCTTGTTCTCTTTGCAAATTTTTGCAACCCGATGAATAGTACCACTTTTGTCTTATTTGGCAAATATTGTCCAATCGTAGACCAACTAGGCTCAAAAGATTCATCTCGTGATTTCCAACTAAACTGTGTAATTAGTTATTTTTTTTACCTACATTTAATACTCCATGCAAGCGGTTAAAAATTGATGTGATGGAGAGAGAGTGAAAAAACTTGGAATTTGGTGTGCATCTAAACAAGGCCTAGGTGATCAATGCAACTTTTTAAGATAGCATATCATGTAGCTGTCTGAATAAGGTTGTGTAGTTGTTCACATGTAGTTTTCGCAGTTCTGTCATCTGTGCTAAGATAATAAATCCTATGTGATTTGTTATGAAGATATATGCTTGCATGATTCATGGCTCCAATTTTTCTACTTGGTTTTGAAGTGTGACATGATCACTAGTCCATTGTTTAGTTGTTTTTAGATGAGGATGTCCGTCATGGTAAAAGGATGTCTGTTTTGGGTTTGTGGGATGTTTTCCATACGAGGAACTAGTACTGGGAATATTCTCCCTCCATCTTTATTCTGTCTTATTAGGTATCAAATGTGTTTATATACCCGCATGGCTGCAACTGCAGGTAGGGATGAAAACGATACCAAGTGGTCTATTTTTTTTGTCAGTTTCCTACTTTTTTTTTTTCTGAAACATTAGTTTCCTACTTTTTGTTTCCTCAGATATCGAACATTGTCGACAACGAATAGGGGCCAATATATATTATGGAACTTTGGAAACAAAACTACCCGATCTGAAACACATCGATATATCGATCCGAAATTTATAATTTATTGCAAACAATGAGCAATAGCGCAACAAATGCATATAATCAGAGTGACTGATTGAGTGATTGACATTTCATAAGAAGCTGAGACAAAGAAAATCGAACGACAACAATTGAAAACTGGACTTGGGGGACATGATTAACCGCTGGGGTTTGCCTATTAGGCTTCAATTCATTTTTGATTCTTTAACCGTTATACTATTGTTGTCTTTGCGGAGGGAAAAGTCCATTTTATCTTCTTAAACTATCGTCATAGTATGAATTTTCTCCTCAAACTTTAAAGTTAGAGATCACACCCTCTAAACTCTCAAAATCGTTCAAATTACCTCTCTGCCCTAGTTTGAGGTGGCTTTGTCCTTTTTTAGCTAAAAAAATTGGTAAATACTAAATAAGGTTTTTGAACCACATAAAATTTCTCTACACTTCTAAATTTTTTGAGAAAATTCCTAGAGATAGATTGAGATACAACAAATCCAAATCAAATATTTAGATCTCATGATAATTTCTCTACAACATTCCAAAAAATAGATTTAGATCAAGAAAAACAGAAAAAATCCAGAATGTAGTAATCCCAAAACATTCCAATTGATGCTTAAACGCATTTTGAAAACTTTTCAATAAAATGTAAGATCCAACCAGCGTGAATGCAGTGCATCCATACTTGTTGAATCTCATATTTTTGACATCGATTACAATGTTTTGGTGGGGTGTGTGTGTGTGGGTGGGGGGGGTGTTTCTAGTTTTTTCTAGATATTTTCCCATTTAGTAAGAGCCCAATCTAGTTTTAGAAGGTTCTAGATATATTTTCACAAGCTTTAAATATTTTATTTGGATTTTTTGTTTCCAAATCTACCTCTACGATTTTTCTTGAATTTTTAGAAGCTTAGAAGCATTTTATGTGGTTCAAAAACCTTATTAAGTATTTATCAGATTCTTTTTTTTTTAAAAAAAAGACAAAACCGCCTTTAAGACCACTAACCATGGCAGAGAGGTAATTTTAACGGTTTTAAGGGTTAAAAAGGGGTGTGGTGTCTGATTTTTGAAGTTTAATATAAGGAGGAAATTTAGATTAGCGCGATAGTTTAGGAAGATAAAATTGACTTTTTCCTTTCGTGGATGCCATAAGTTGGTACTGGGCTGGGCAGGCTTAGGCCCAGTCATCAGAAATCCAGGGCATAAGAAGATAAATTGGCCATGATCATTGTGTCATGAAACTAAATAAATATCCCTTTGTGTAATCTTATTAGCTTTCTTTGTTTGCTGATCGGCTGTATTGTTTTTGTGTTTAGGGGGCAACCCCTCCTGTTTTCCTAAAAAAAAAACCGATGTTGTATTTTTGCAGGAGGGCAGCAAATATATTTTTCTGCTGAAGGGCTTGGTCACATATTTCCATCCAGTGTCTTACGCTGAGTTTACCGTATATAGGCGGCTTGGATTTTTATTCAAAATCGTTGTGATTCTGGTGTTGACTCATGAATATACAAAGTTCTTAGTTTCCTAATCATAAATTCATAATCCTACCAGAAAAGGTTTGTAAATAATAAGCCTGCTTGGTTTAGTAATGGCTTTGTGCAGTTCAAGGCACTTCGTCAGGGAGCGCAAGATAATAACTCAATTTTTTCATTATCTTTAGTAAAGATCGATTAGTCAGCAATACATAATAACGTTGAGATGTATGGTCAAAACTGGCTTCACAATTACAGGCACTCCGCACGCCCATTAGGGAATGCAATCTCTTATGCTCATCCTCATCCATACTCTAATTGAACTGATAAAGCCGAACCGGCACTGAATACATCCCAAAAATCTCCGTCATATATTACATGATTAAATACCAGTCATCTAAGACTACAAACCAGAAAACATAGCTCCATCACCATGACAAGAAAGGCATGCCAACAGCACATACAGAAAGAAATGGAAAAAAAAGGAGGCTACAATTACGGTGAACAAGATTCAGAAAACAATGTACAATCATCCATGTCGTCCACCTCGTCCTCGGGAATGTTCCATTTCTCGGGCTCCTTCAGACACTCATCAGTAGTAGACAGGAAATGCAGAACCTGAAAAACAACATGAGCAGTAGGGGACAGTGGCATACTGTTATCAGCAAACATTTGACAATACTACAATCAGATCAGCTCAGGTATCTAGTAATAAAATTGGTTAGTACCTCGGCCATTGAAGGCCGCCACATCGCCGGTCGCATGATGCAGCGGGATGCGACTGCGACCATCCTATTCAGTTGATCTTTGTCATAGTCATCTCCGAGGTTTGGGTCTGCAAATTCAGTCACTTGCCCAGCTTCCAGCAGTGGCTTTGCCTAGACAACAAGAGTAAGTCATATGTGCGAATTGTTGCCTGGTAAACATCATGTTGGTGTCATTTCTTTCTCTTGTCCTCACCCATTGCAGAAGGCTTTGCTTGGAGCAGTCAATAGGTCTCCTTCCAGTGACAATCTCTAGCAGCAGAACGCCAAAAGCGAATATGTCGGTCTTTTCATCGACGATGCCATGCATGAAGTATTCTGGTGCCAAGTACCTGCGTTCTCAAAGTGATTTTTGAAAATTTGAGTCGAAATGCAATGTTCTTACATTACATTACTATGGTTTCAAAATGAGCACACTGTTCTTACCCAAATGTGCCTTCTATGGGTATGACAGAATGGTGAGTCCACTGCTTTGGGAGCCACTTTGACAAACCGAAGTCTGAAATCTGTTATAGACACCACAACCATCTTTTGTCATAGTCTATGCATCGAAGCAATATAACTATCTATTTGGTCAGAAAACAATTTACCTGAGGTTCGAAGTCATTGCCAAGAAGTACATTGGATGCCTTGATATCTCGATGGATGATCCGATGCCTGCAGAACATATGCAGATATTGCAAGCCCCTCGCTACACCCACCGCAATCTTGTACCTCAGAGGCCACTCAAGAGTTTTCCCACTC